TCAACCGGTTGAGATTAACTATTTATACTTTTCGTTTTATTTCGAAATTCTCGGAGCTTTGCTCAAATTTTGTCTCAACCTTGCTCGTCTTTTATGCTCAATAATTTTCTTTCGGAACCTTTGCTCTCTCCTTATATCGTTTTACTATATCGATCCTGCTAACCGATTACCGGGTCAATCAATTAAGAATTTCCTCAACCGGTAAAGCTAAATTTATTCGGTTCGGTCGGTTAACCGATTATAGGTCAACCGATTCAAATCACTAGTTTAAGTAAGCCATAATCAGGTTTGTTTGAACCGGTTCAAGTGAACCAAGAACTAATCAATAACTAAAATCTGATTCACATGAACCCGAATTAGGTTCAAGGAACCAAATCTGGTTCACCTGATTCAAATTCATGCAACAAAACTCCAGTTAACTTGAACCCGATTCAGGTTTAGATGAACCTGAATCAGAATCAAATGAAATCAGTTTTGATTAAAATGAATCGGATTCTAATTCAAGAAATATATATTAAGTTCAGCTATTCAATATTTAGCGTTAATAATATCAAATTTCTTTTTACATGATAGAAGAATCCTTATTTTTAAATGAATTATTTAAACATTGTCAATTGGATTTTTAATCGGTCATTCAAAGACCTCTGACCGACCGGCGTCGAATATGGTATGGCCGGTCATGACAGGTCAAACCTTAACCGCTGACATCCTAGTCAGAATTATTACACATTAAATTTGACTGTTAAAAATGGGGTTTCTTTTTTTTCTTTTATACAATTAAAGCACTAATAAGACGATCATTGTTTTTGCATAACTAAAATACTAACAAGATAGAAGGGTACAAGTGATTACACCTATCTAGTGATATGAACTTCGTATTGACATAATTCGTACAGAAGACAAGTATCCTTATGTCCTGCTAACCTAAACCTCTGATCAAAAAATTTAAATAAATAACCATTCAGGGCGATATGAATTTGGAAAAAATTTTGCTAATTGGTATTGATAGTGACCATTTTGAAATTTAATCTCGGAGATTCTCCCCAAAATTTAGTCACCAGATTAAATATTAGTCACTGCTAAACACCTCAAAAAATTTTGGACCTCTGATCTATATTAGTAAAGCCTTAACGCATCTCATTAGATGTACTGTAGATTTTTAATGATGTACCTAACTTTGAAATATTGTTTAACGCAGTCAAAAAATCCGTATTACACATTATGATGTATTATTACCGATTGAGATGTTAAATGAGGCGTCCTCAATCAAAACGTGCCTTCGTAAAGTCCGACAAGTTGTTACACAAAATGGTGTCATGTCTAATTGTAACATGGGTGTCATCACTTTTTATTAATTATTAATAGTATTAATCAGTGACTACACCCATGTTACAATTAGATATGACACTATTTAGTGCAATAACTTATTAGACTTCACGGAGGCATATTTTGATTGAGGACGCTCCAATGTTCAGGAATAGCTTTCAAATATTTTATTTTTATTTTTATTTAATAACACGAATAGAAATTATCCACGAATCGGAATAATTTATTTTTAATTATCTTAATCAAGAAAAAAAGCATTTAAAAATAGAATCGGTAAATAAAGTTATTTATTAAAACAATCATTAAAACTCAAATTCGAAATTTCACCCTATATGAGGTGAATTGGTCAAGGGCCTCCTCAAGTTCGAAAAAATGCAACAATAATTTTATTCTTGCTCTTGAGAGTTGAGGGCAGTCAACAAATTTACTTGTAAGAATAAGCAACTTTTTATTAATGTGCCGGAAATTTATCATAGATATAATACATCTATCTTTTTCTATTCGGATTTTTATTAATTGATAATCAATAAATTAAAATCAAAAAAATGAGACGCTCGTACAAAATACAGTACATTTCTAAGTTTAGTAACAATACAATCAAATTGATTCTATTCTACTTTTCAGCTATCAATTTTGCCTTATTTTATGTAATATTCTAAATTATTAATAAGGTCGCTTTCTATATAGAACTCTCAATAAGCTAAACTCTTGGCATACAGAAGTTAAAAACAATCTATATATTGTAATTCCTCGATGTAGTTAACCTACTAATAAAATTCACTTTAACGCTGTATGTCCTATTAGTCTATCCATGCATCACGTACGTACGTTCATTAATTTTACGATTGTTACTGATAAAGGTCACATTAGTGCGAAATTAACTTGCAGTTAATATCCATCATCTAATTAGCTTATCTATGAAGAGATCATTATTTTAAAATCAGATAATTGCATATTAAGGGTTATACGTAAAACATATTCCCTATATGGATGTATGGCGTGGATAAAATTATACTGATGCATTTCAGTAAATAGAAATGTGACAACAGAAAAGCGGCGTGAGTAAAGAAACATTATTTAGGAATTTATCATTATATACGTCGTACGTACGTATAAAAAATGCGAAATTAACGCCAATTTGCGCAGTATTTCAAGTACGTACGCCTATGTGCGTTATATCGAATCAAGACAGTTTCCGGACTTCTATCTTTTTAAAGTAACGTGCATTTATACTTGCAAATCGCTATGTAATTGTTCAATGTGTGTATGAAGGTCATACAACTCTCAGTTATACGACATATTATGTTAAATGGGACGCCCCATGGGCACTATTTTAGACACAACTTTTAAATAAACCTACGGACATCATTTCGTGCTTATATGGTAACAGTAAGATATGCTTGCCGGTAAAACTATTCATCCCAAAATCCCAAACCGCAAATTTGGGACAATTTTACTGTGTTTAGGATTTGGGAAGGATTTAAGATTATAGTTTGAACGGCATGTATACAGTAAGACTTTATATCAGTATACGTATTACGTATACAAAATTTTTTGTTAAACATTGGACATCAAGAAAGTAAATTTTACCATTCCTATGAAAAAACTTGGTTGATTAGTTAGAATTATTGAAAAGAAACTAGAATAAAACTAGTTAATGCTTGCTTTATGGCGGTTTATCTAATCTAGACTATGAATTATGCTAATTCTTCCCTATCGCTATAAGAAGTTAGTATTCAGAATTTGACATATTTTTAATCATTACACAAAAAATTAATACGGGAAAACGCATTATCACACATAAAATAAAATATATTGGAAGGTGCATATCAATATGCGCAATGTTGTATACTATCTGTTTGTTCATATTCAAGTAACCATTTTCTTAAACTCGAATTTCGGGCGTCAGAATAATGTATACTGAATTGAATAGCATAATGGCCTAATGCCTTTTTGATTTCTGATTCCAGTTAATCATTTTTTTTGACAGATTTCAAATTTTAAATTTTATAACAATTCAAAGTTCATTAGAAATATGGGAGCTTTATGACAAGCATGCCGAAATATTATGATATTTTTATATCTAAAACTTTAAGTGTCACAGATACGAAAAGTTTTAATCTGTATCGGTGAGTAGGTTGATTATTTATATTTTTCAATAGAACTCTATTTGACGAACAAATCAATTCGACATAGTCAAAGATTAAATTATGTCACTTTATCAGCCCAGCAAAAAAAAAAGCTTATATGACAAATGACCCATTTTTAATTGAAAAATGACGTCAAAAAGAATACAAAAATTATCTTAGAAAATAATTAACAAATTAGCTATTTTATTCGCCTAAAATACGTATAAACTTAAGTGGCGCTAGCTTCTTAGGCGTCATAGCAACCAATGGTGGTATAAATTATTATGTAGTCCGGAGCGATGCGGAAGACTATTAAGGAAGAGTATCAATGTACTGTACGTACGTACAAGTAAACAATGCAATGTCATTCCGTTGTCCGGACACGTGAAGTAGATTCCAGAACTTTTATATGTAAAAATTTAACGTTCAGTACATGTCGTACAATGTGCATAATTAGCACTTCATTTCATTTCAAAGTTCTTTTAGAAAAAAAAAAAGTATTTGTTGTACGTACGAATATTACAGAGAAATAAACTATCAGCCACCATGGTGTACGTAACCTAGAACATAGTTCTCCGTGTACGTAGTAATTTCTATAGAACATGCAAATGCCAATTTATTATTCCTAATTTGTTATTAATAATAAAATAGTTTATGCTTTATCTTATTATATCATCTATTTTGGCTATGCGCGGTGGCTGCCTATACATAGATTAAATTTGGGGTGGCAAATTACATGAAGTCATCTCACATATATCGTAAATTTTATCCCACGAGAGGGAATTCTCCCTATTACAAATATTACCCTATTATATTGAATCAAATTTAAATATGTATATATTTATCTTCGAATTTTATTATACTGAATAAAAATGGGATTCAAATTGCACAAGTCTGGGTACTTAATGCAGCCCTTAGAGCCTAAACTTTAGATGAATGCACTTTTAGAGAACAATATTATTAAAATCTGCATTTACGGGCTAGAGTTTAAACTGCATTTAGGGTTGTTACTTTTAGGGTCTTAACTGTATTTAGATGGAGCATAAAGTTTAAAATGTTTCAAGAAATAACGTTTAAATCGTTTTCAAACAACAGAAATAATTTATTTTACAATTTTTTCTTTTTTTAACAAAAAAAAATTTTGGTTGGTTTGATAATTCAATATCGTGTCGATTAAGAATAAAAAAAAATAAAAATTCTTTACTTTTTTAATAAGGTAAATTAGGTAAATTCATAATTGTTTCAAGCAAAGTAATCTTTGTAAAGAAGTTATCCGTTTTTTTGCGTCTTTTTAAATTCGATTGTACAATGTGTGACTAATTTATAACGATGAACAATTTATTTCATTAACGTTTACACAATTTACACGAAATAGCACTACTACCCAAATTTGGATTCAATTGACAAATTCGAATCGTTATATAACGACAAACGATAAAATACCAGAAATTCAAAATGAAAAACTTTGAAAATTTTTTTAAAAAACTTCCTATATCCTATACTTTTAAAAAAACTAATCGAGACCAAACCTCGATAATTTGCAAAATGAGCAATAACGATAATAAATCCGTTCAACCTGATAAAAAAAGATCAATTGGTCATCTTCCTAAGTCGATCAAAATGACAAACAAATCATGCGTCTTCGGTAACGTGACCAATACAGAAGATATTATTTCTCGTTGCATTAATGAAAAATATAAAGAGGAAAATTATTGTCAAGATCCTTTGAAAATGAACTCTGTTCCATGTTACAAACCAGAAGATTTACCAAAATCAAGTTTTTCTACTGCAAGATTAACAAGACATCTCTGTGAAGTGGGATACGATAATAACCTACCATGTTTCAGATCTCAACACCCTTCAACAGATTTTGATGCTATTTGCGATTTCTTTGAATATGCAAACTTATTAAAAAGATATAATGCAAATTTATTAAGACATGAAACTTTGGATATTAATACTGAGATTTATGGTCTAAAATTTGTTGCTGTTCATGAAAATCAAGAGCAAACCAACGAAAAAAATGCTATTCAATTGGTTAATTCTGCATTCAACAGCGAACTTTGGCAAATTAAACACGAACTCGAAGCTTTAGAAAATGAGTTTAAAGATTCTGAATTAAAATTCTTTAAAGCCTCTATAGCTGTTTGGTGTAAACCAAAATTGGATCGTCGTGATTGGCCTGCAATAATTAATGGATTGAATAAATTCATTTCGGCGAAACCAATAAATGATACCAGATATTTTGAAGCTTACATCACTGCACTTTCTTTATATACGTTCGCCGCTCTTCTTCAGAATCATAAAAAATCCACTATGCTTAATGTAATAAATAATTCTTATAAATTACTTTTACCATTCCTCTCTACTTCAACATATCATAACGCTGAAGGATCATTCGCTAATAAAGTTAAAAACAAACCGCCGAGTGTGAGATTAATGGACATTTTTGGTGGCTTACATCACGGTTTGAAGGTAGCAACTATTCAAAAATTCGAATGCGAACAAGATAATATAATTTCAACTTCAGAATTTTCAAACCTTACTCTTGGTCTTGATAAATTAAATATCATAAAACCTGCAACCTTCGCCAAAAATGAAGGATGGAATAACGTAACTATAAAAGTTGATGTTAGATTTCCGGTGTCTTTAATGATTAAATCACGTGGTGTGCGAATATTTGATGTTAGATCTGAAGCGTGGGAATTCAAACCTAATGAACATAATATTTATATTTCCCGACTGATATTTAATGCTATCACGGAAATTTCTTCAATTTGGACGGTACTTGAGTCTGTAGAAGATACGAAAATTCCTATTAGTCCTATCAGTCCTATTATTCCTATTAGTCCTTTTAGTCCTGTTAGTCCTGTTAATCCGTCATCATTATCAGAAAAAGAACAAGTAGATAACGAATTTTTCAAAGTTAAAAAGAGTTACTGTCGAAAAGTTTATTGTGATTTGCTTACTCGCAAATATTATGATGTTATTGCGGAGATTCGATCACCTTGGATCTTATCTCATGAATCAATTTAGGAAGTAACAGGTAATGTCTCATTATTATTTAATTATATTAAAAGAAAAAATATTTTTAATTACGTCTAATACATTCTTATTTATATTTTCTCTTTCTTTTTTTTTTTTGTTCCGGTTTGATAAATAGAAAAAAATTCTCATTAAAATGTAAAACGTAAATGATATTATATTGCACTTCAAGAAACTATTTAATAATATGAACAATGGTATCTCGGGCATTGCTTTGGGATTGAAATCACTACTTTTTTTTAATAGGTTCACTTAAGCATGAAATGGTTCGATGAACCTGGTTCAATTAAATTGGGTTCACTTGAAGCCAAATTACTCAAAAAAAAATCAAAAGCCAGGACATTTTTATATCTCGGACATAAAAATTAGGCTTCATCCCTTTTTTCTTTTTTTTTTCCTATCTTTATTTTTGTTTCAAATTATTATCTCTTCTCCCCGTTTTATTATATATTTTTGTTCACTTATTATTACAGTATTATGGTAATTTTTCTTTCGCGTACAACCTATTATATATATATATATTTGTTTGTTTGTTTGTTTTGTTTTTTTTATTTGTTATATTTATTCATGTCTTTTTTTGCTTATAACTTTAAATGTTGAGTAATACAATACTTTTAAAAGTGGTGGTAAGCAACTTAAACAAAACGCCTTTAAAAATTTTTTTTTTTAAAAATATATGCATGTAGTTTTAGTAGTTATTATTTGGAATATATATACTAAATAAAAAAATTATTACTTTAATCTTAAAATCCGAGTTTTTAAAATTTATAATAGAAAATGTTACGTAGTGTTTATACACGAGTATATACTAATTTATTGACTTGCTTAATTGTGTAACATGTAAATATCATATTGGCGGATTTGTGATTTCAAAGCTGGCCAAATGATCTGCAAATTTGACTGGAGTTACGACTCTGGTTTTCTATTTATCAAGTTCCACAAATCCGCTGATACTGTATGTAAAAGTTAAATATTAGTTTATGCTAAAATTTTGTAAGAAATATAATCATAACCGGGATTTTGAGATATCAATATACCCATGTATTAGGGTTGGGCAAATGTAAGTTACATTGTAAGTCACAATGTAAGTTATATTGTAAGTTACAATGTAAGTTACACTGTAACAAATGTAAGTTACATATACATATATTTATATATAATTTTTTAAATTAAACATTTATTTAAGGGAATTGCTATTTCCACCATGGTTACACAAGATTTTCTATTTTTAGATAACAATATAAAAAACTCATTACACTAACACTAACCCTAACCTTTAATTCTAACCCAAACCCTAAAACTAATAAGTAAACTTGTAGAGAAGACTTTTCTGGTTCTAATGGTGGTTAAAGGCGCGAACATAAAGATCTACAAATTCACTGTTACACAAAGCATTATAGTCTATTCGCGCCTTTAACCCAAATATCTTTGGATCTACCAGGCCAATCTTAATGATCTAACCACCATTAGAACCAGAAAATCTTCTCTACAACTTTACTTAGAACTTGAAGAAAGGTTTACTTATTAGATTTAGGGTTAAAATTAAAATAACTAAAGCTAAAGTTAGTTTTTTAAAAATTAAAGAAGTTTTTAATAAGTAAATATTTCATCCAGCTCTAAGTAAAGTTGTAGAGACGATTTTTATGATTCTAATGGTGGTTAGATCATTAAATTTGGCCTGGTGGATCCCAAGATATTTGGGTTAAAGGCGCGAATATAAGTATTATAGACTATAATACTTTGAGTAACAGTGAATTTGTAGATCTTTATGTTCGCGCCTTTAACCCCAAATATCTTGGGATCCACCAAGCCGATTTTGATGATCTAACCACTATTAGAACCAGAAAAGTCTTCTCTACAAGTTTACTTAAAGCTAGAAGAAATGTTTATTTATTAAAAACTTCTTTAATTTTTAAAAAATTAATTTTTACTATATAAATGCTAAAAATAGAAAAAATGGAAAATCTTGTGTAGATCATGGTGAAAATAGCAAATTACCATGGTGGAAATAGGCATTCCCTAAATATATTGTAAACATATTTAGCAAAAAATATAGGTTTTTGTAAAGAATACACAAAGGTGGGTTTAGATTGCTGTTTTTCTATTTTTTACATTTTTCAATTTTTTTCTTAATTCGGGATTAACAAATTTTCTATAATTTGATTGGCGGTTGATCACATGATTTCCCTCCAACCTTATATCTTCCCCTAGATCGCCACCAACATTTTTACCAGCATGTGATTATGTGTAACACACTGAAAAATTCTTTAAGTTCGTTTAGGTTAAGGTTAGGGTTAGAGAGAGCTATAGGTAAAATTGCTTAAGGAAAACTTTTGTTAAAGCACTAAAGGTGGTTTCTTATACTACATTTTGAGTTACAAGCGATTTTTGACAAAGCGAACATTTGTTTTGATTTTTCCTGATTGTGTAACATTACACCTGATCTTGAAATGTTATTGGTTTAAAATCACGTGCAGGTGAAAATTGTGGGTAGTTCCAAACCTTATTATAAAGTGTCGATCATTTTATGCTCTTTATTTGCGATTTACCTCTTAAGTATTTACATAGAGAAACCATATAAAAAAACTTAATTGTACAAAGTCAAATACATATAAATTAAATGCAAGTCTAAAAGCTCAGACTAATTTATTTGTGACTTAAACCTACTAGAGTGGTTAAGGCTACCTATATTTAAATAATCATAAAATTCATACAGATGAAATAAAAGTTAGTTTAGAAAGTAATATTATCATGAACATCGAAATATTTAGGAAAAGAAATGACAATTTTGAGATCTTACAGTATTTGAACAATTAAACCATATGATATACATGTACCTTAGTATAAAACTATGAAAAATATGCTGCTTAAAATAAAAACAAGTTCCTAAAGTATTCATAAATCTGATTGTTATTAAAAAACACAAAGCAGTAGTTTCTGAAACTCTAATATGATCTATTTGTAATATCTCAGGGTCATTTAACATTTACATGTTATATATTATCACTAGATATTAATTGAGAAATACAAAACATAATCAACAATATGCTTAGGAACATAGTAATAACATCGTCAAACTCTCACCTATTTAAATATATACTCCCATAAACATGACTGATTTAAGTTTCTTTAATTTTTTAATTAAGAAAATCATAACATTCATAATACAAATCGCTAAGATAGCAAGTGTTATAGTTAAACCAATTGCCGCTATTGGCCACTGTGAAGTATTGATTGGAGAGCTTAAAGTATTGATTGTATTAGAAAACTCGAAATTGTAGGCTGAAGCATCTGTCACAAGATTCACAGTGTCTGTCCACGAACGAAGTGTCATATTATATACTAACATCGTGTCTAATGTAATACCGGTTTCGGGTGCACTTGAATTTTGATAAATAACACCACCATATATCTATTAAATAATATATAGTAAAATATCAGAAATTTAAAATAAAGTAAAGTAAGGAATTTTTATTTTTTTTTTTACCAATACTACATCTGATCCAGGAGGCTGGACTCCGGCCGCACGAAGTCTGGCTTTCGTCAAATTAGTAGATGTTACAACGGGACTTTCAAATTTAAATCGGGCAAAATTAAAAGGAATGATAGATATCTGTTTATCCTCAAGATAATCATTATAACTTAACACAATAATGTGCATAAAATCGCCGATAACTCCTACTACTGAATGAGTAAAATTAAAAGGAAGCTGATAGCTTGGCTGAACAATACGTGATTCCGTAATATTATAAATATACGATAAACCACTTGAGGCTCCTTCTCCCTTTTCTATGATCGGAATATCTTTATCTACGCCACCGAAAATAAACACGCCCTCCCTTGAACGAGCAATTCCAACGCAATTTAGAATTTTCGAAGACTATATAATAGTATAAAGAAGTTATTTTATCATGTCATGCTGTAGCTGAAGCTGAAACTAACCAATAGCACTAAGTGATTAGGTCAGACACATTCGTTTCAGAGTCAGTGACAGTTAATAATCAATATCAAACTTGCATTATATTCGATCGGTTCCCATTTCCATGGATTCACTGTCATGTTCAATTTATAAATAACACGAATTGGAGGAGGTGCACCAGTCAAACCACCCCAGATAAGTATAATCTTCGGTTCAATTAAAATTGATCGTGGTTGAAAAATTAGACCAAACCCTTCAGAATAATTAATCAAATTTCGAATTTCATTCCAAGCATTTGATGTGAAGTTATAAACTTGGAATCCGGCTTCTGGTGGATGTGTTCCACCAATTATTAGAAGCAAACCCAAAGAAGGTTCGACGATACATGTCATGTCGCAAGTATTAAAAGTATTAATAGTATTAAGAGCTTCCCATGGAATTGAAGAAGTATTAAATGGCATTTTTGCTTTATAAAAAAAAAAATTTACATTATAAGTATTCCATTTGATATCACCTCCAAATAAGTAGACTGCGTCATAATATGTAAAGAGACAATGACACTCTCTTACTCCTGGACTATCGCTGATTATTTGATTTAAAAACCCGAGAATTAAAAAAATTGATAGTGAATAAGAATTTAATAAAGCCATTATCATAGGAATTGGAGCGCTATTTGTTTAACCGCAATTAACTACTTATTTATATTATGATCAAATGATATAAACGATTAAATAATCAAACGAATTGATATGTCAATAGAAAGCATGCTCATTCATGTGTAGGGTTACTGGTGCAAGATACTTAGCGACATAAATTGTGTTTGTATCCAGCCAACATAGTGCAACAACACATTTGAGATTAGCGAGGGTGATGGACAAATGCGCATGGATGTGTTAAAAAAAAAAAAAAGAGTTATATGAATCATATAAATCTTGATGGGAAAAATGCGCGTTGGCCCATCTCTAGTTGAGATTACACTAGAGAGACAGGGAATTACAACACACGTGAACTTTCTAATTGACTTAAAAGAGTGACTCAGTTTCAGCACAATGAAATTACTAGAGGCATTTCTGTGAACGGTTATACAAGTGTATCTAAACTAGACAAATGGACCAAATATAAATTTTAAATTTAATTTATAATATATTATATATAAATTTTGTTTTTGCAATAAAACCTTCAAATTTAATAGAATTCGGCTTTTTTTTTTTCTTTTTATACATTACAGCTGATCTAACCAATAAGATAAATTTGACTATAATAATAAACGTGTCAGTTTGTTTTTTATATTACGCCTGATCTAGCCAATAAACGTTAGTTTCGTACGTTACACCTGATCTAGCCAATCAGGTTTCGGAATTTGTTAACACAGTGTACGTACTATTGCTCTACCCTGTAGTGTCCTTCGGACAATTATTTTGTTCTTGGCACAAATTTAATGATAAATTAT